TCTGTAACTGTAATCTTCTATTGTCTAACAGTTATCTTCATCTTCTTTATCTTCTTTTGCAGTTCTTCTATTACTTTTGCCTGTTGTTACTTTGTTCCTTTGTTAATGCTTCATTAATTTCTGAAGCTTTTATTATTTTTTCTTTCATCTCTTGTTGGTTTAGATTTGTTCTATGTCTCCTTGTACAACCATTTTCTAAAAACAGATTCTTTATTTCAGGCTGTATGTTGTTCAGATCAAATCCACTGTTGTCCATCAGGAACAACTTGTGATACTGGAGCTGGTAAATGTAACAGACAAGATGGAACTAGTGTCATGTGGTCCAAGAAAACATCATCTCAATCTTTAAAAGTAGAAAATGTTGTTTGTCCTGATCAACAATCTCAATGTCCTGATGGTTCAACTTGTTGTAAATTATCTACAGGACAATATGGATGCTGTCCACTGCCAAATGTAAGTAAATATTCTTCTTCAGTCTTATAACTTTGATCTTCTTTCAAGATCACATACTTGTATTTCTCATCTGATTATTGGACAATTCTTCCAATTACATGTACTTTTGTTGCTTTATCTCCTTCTTTTCTCATCTACTGCTGCTGTTATTCTGTCATTTTGTCTGTTTCTCTGGCTTCTATATTTCTGTTGCCTTATCTACAGCTGTCCTCATCTTCTGTATCTGTCATTTTATAACCCTTGCATGTTTTTTTAAGTTTTTACTTTGTTCTGTAGGTACTGCTCCCAGGTCTCCTTCAAGTTTAGAAGCTTTTATCACTTGTTCTTCTGCTTATCTTGTTGTCATTCCTTTGTACTTTTCAATTTGGTGGCTTATAAATAATTGTACTTACCATATATAGTCAAATATTAAAGCTAGTATAAGTGGATACAAACATTTAATGTTTCTCCTCTTCACAACCATTTATAACAACAGATTCTTTATTTCAGGCTGTATGTTGTTCAGATCAAATCCACTGTTGTCCATCAGGAACAACTTGTGATACTGGAGCTGGTAAATGTGACAGACAAGATGGAACTAGTGTCATGTGGTCAAAGAAAACATCATCTCAATCTTTAAAATCTGCAGATGTAAGCTATAGAATATAGCTATATAATACTTTTTGATCTTTGAATCTCTTTTGTGCTTCATTTGTCTTATATGACTTGATTATTATAATGACTTATTTTCAATAAAAGAAAATATGGTCACTATATGTGAGGAAATTATTGATTATTGTCCTGCCAAA